AACTGTTCAAAAAATAATTCACAGTCTTACAATTAAATCTGTAACATGAAATAAAAAGATTTGTTAGAAATGTTGGCTTTTACCTTTTTTTGAATTTCATGATTAAAATATAAAATCTGAGTTTTGTTCAGATTAAAAACCTTTTCAACGTGTTTGTCTTCTGCAGGCTGCTGCTGAGGAGGAGCAGGCCCATAAACAAGCAGACGGAGGCCACGCAGAGCCTCAGCACTCTAACCACACACACCTGCACCCGCATGAGCACGTGCACACAGCCACACCCACCTCCCACGCCACCATCTCCAGACCACAAGGCCTCCTGGGTACAATTGTGTTTCAGGATCCCTCCCCCAGATCGGCTCCGTCAGCCCCCTCCTGCCCCGGCCCTCGAAGACACATACTGGGTATAAGACAACTCGGGATCTGATTGGATGAATAATGCATCTGATTCTTTAAAACATGTCGCTCCAACAAAATGCAACAAATTGTATCTGATAAGAGGAGATAAACACATGCCACCACTCATTATTGTAAACACATCACATCATTGACTTTTTTTTTCCTTCAAATTTTTTATTTTGATTTTTTCGTTTTCCAAATAAACACAAAAAACCATGAATACAATGAATACAGAAGGAAGAAAAACAAACAAGCAGCCTCCACTCTCAAAAAAAAAAAAGGATTTAAAACACACACAAAAAAAAAGACCAACTTTACCAACATAGAAAGTTAAAGAAAATGAATAAATAAGTAAAGAATAACAATGTCAACTAGTCTGGAACAGAGGTTAGTTCGTTTAGCCAACAGTTGCAATGGTTGCCAAACGTGCGTAAATTGCTCAGAAGAGTCATCCTGATTTTCTCAAGTTTAAGGAAATAAATGGTCATAAAAACTAGAGAATTACCCTCAGACAACAGTCCGTTCAACTTAACATCCATTAAAAGCGGGGCATGACAATAATAATAGTGATCTGTTGTCAATCAGAAAGAGATCAATATGAGTGAATGGGTGATGGACAGGTGAGAAAAACCAGTACTCCCTTTTCGAGCGGTTAAGAAAACGCCAAGAGTCTGATGTTGCAAACTCCTGCATAAAGGATTGAATAACTTTGGCTGCTCGAGAGAGTCTAGAAGAGGAGCGATCGAACTTGAGATCAAGCCAACAGTTGAACAGTTGCCAACAGTCCTCATCTGGAAGTGAAAGAATTTATTCTGAAAACATTATTTATTTATAAAATTTGTACCGTTATTGTCCAAATATTTCTGCAAAAAGATTTGACCTTCCTCTGATTTTTTGGCCTAAAAGCTGTTTATAGGAAATGATTATATAACATCATATTCATGCAGATGCATGAGAAGGTGATGAGAAGGATAAAGAGAGGAGGTAAATACAACCCAAAGCATAAAGAACTTTAGAGTTTAAGCATAATGTGACGATTGGCTCAGCACCCTGATTTACTGACATGATTTATATGATTTACCATGATTACTTTTATTGTTTTGAGTTAACATGGCGACCTAATTCATTGAAAAAACCTGAATGATAGTAGATTAGTAAATAGTAAATAATACATGTAGATAACAGTGTTATTTTAAAAGATTCTGCAAATGTTTTCATGCTTAGTAATGCTGTTCTTTGACTTTGACAATGAACAATAGTTAATGTCATTTGTGTTTTCGTGCTTGTTAATGACTCTACAGTTCATGGTTTTGCCTTCTCTTCCCATGACCCTACAAGTGCCTGTTGGTGCTTGCCAGGCCAGCACTGTAAATAATAAGTTGTTCTCAGTGATTATGTCTGGTTAAATAAAGATGAATTAAAATAAAAATAAAAGTTTTATTTGTCAGCTCTGCTTGCTGTTGTTGTAATTGCTTGGAATGCCCAACAGGTGTCACTGTGGTTTAATTCTGTACGTGGTGTGGTTGAGCATGCATGTGTTCATCTTGTATGCTAATAAATAGCATGGTATAGAGTTGTAGAGATATACTTAAATAAGGAGGTCTGATCACGTTAACAGGTGTGCAATCAAAAGAGTGAATGCGAGTCGACCTCGATCAAAGGAATAATGTTTTTTGTCAATGTTGCGATCCCCCTCACTCAAATAAAAAAACACAAACCCCGATTAGTTAAAGTCACAATTATGTAACATTTATTTTCTGTTTGAATAGTGACAATATGTAATTATAGCAAATATGAAATATGAATGAATAGCCAGCAGTGTTATTTCAAAAGGGTGAATAATATAAGATAGGTTCAAACTTTGAGAAGATATGTTATTCAGTTTTAGAACTAACGTTAAAATGTAGGTAACCTTTATGTTAGATTGGTACAGTAAACTAAATGTGTCTAAAAACCTAGTTGTCACTGAGAGTTGTTTACTTTCATCAGGAGAAAGATGTTTAATCCTACCGGGAGAGTCCTCACTCATTACCACAGGGGATACGATGAAAGGAGGTCGGTATTTGTTGTCCCAGAAAATGATGAACTCCTCCAGAACTTCATCCAGCCAGACAGCACTATCGTTCCGGGGTGTTTGAGAGAGTTCTGTGGACTCTCCGTGCAGCTGGCTCGCTCCGTCTGAGGTGGAAAGGGACCAGAGCCCGGCTCCCTGATGGTTCCTGGGGCCGGCTTGGAGCGGTTCCGAGAACACTTCTCAGCCAACACAACCAAATCTCTGACCCTCCCTTCGGCGTCAGCTTTACCTGATCCTAGAAAGGTGGAGTTGCCTATGCAAATTATATCCAATCAATGCAACTCTGACCAACAGAATGGGTGTTAACTTAATCGCATACATTTATTTTGATTACGTAATTCCACCTTTCAAAGTTTATAGGGAACAATGACCTCTTTGTTAACCAGTAACACCTTGTTTAAAAACACAGTTTTCTTAACAGATGTAAGTTTGGGGTTCTTTTACACAATACAAGCACAGCAGGGGTTCTGATTGCAGCCCTGTGATCCATTTCTTCCGTTATCGTGGTGACCACAACTCCTGTGGTCCTGGGTCTATGGCAAAGTTCTGCTCAACTGCACCGTCCATGCGTTGAGCCTCGGTCAGGAGGACTCAGACTTCCGAGCCAGCTTTGCGTGCGAGCCACCTCCACCCTGAGCACGTCCTGTCCAACTGAACAATGAAGAGAACGTTAAGGGCAAAACACTCATTTCCATCCTGATGCATACTCAATAATCCAGGCAGAAAAATAAAATAAGTTCAATCTGGTCCTCTGGACATTCAAAAAAAAAAAAAAAAAAAATTGTAGAAACGTTTCGTCTCTCATCCGAAAGACTTCCTCACTCATTTCCATCATTCATTTCACACTATCTGTCCAAAGGAAATATAATATTTTTCCCATTTTATGTTCCATAGAACTGTTATTTTATCAGTCCTTCACAGGGACACCTGGACAGGTCTCCAGTCAGCAGCACCGGTTTCATTTTTGAGGTGGGGTGGCCATGGGGGTCTGTCGTCACCTTGCACTCTGTTCAGTTTTGCCACACAATAAGGTAAATGGGTACTTTCACAGAGTGGTGCAGACAGATATTTCTCTGTTTATCAATAGTAAAGTGTGTTAGTAGTGAAATGAATGTAGCGTCTC